GGGGTGTATGGGGCGGGAGGGGGTCTCGGGGAAGAGAACCCGAGTAAAAAGAAGGGGAGGGGAGTGATGGTGGAGGGCGTGGGGGTAATTGCATTTCGTAGAATATTAAATCGTTCGAAGCGCAGCCGCAGCGCCACGCTGCGCCAGGCCGGCCGCCTTGGTCTATGATTGCACGGCCCGGGCTAATGAGGGGTTTTCTTTTCTGTGCCCCGGCGGCGGATCGCCGGCGTCCTGGTCGAGCCACCCCCCGCCCCACCACACCCTACCCCGCCCCACTACGCCCTGCAAACGCCCCGCGAGCGCATAGAGTTGGTCGGAAGTCGCGGAAGTTGGCCGTAAAAAGTCCAATGTGGTCGAAGCCGGTATGGCGCCGGTGGCGGTGGTGGTGAGCCCTGCTGAGCCCTCCCTGGTGGGCCTGAGCGAGCCCGCCGCGCACGCCAAGGCAGGCGAGCCGAGGCACAGCCAAAAGAACTAAACCGCCGCCGAGCCGAGCCAAACGGAGCCGAGCGCCTAGAGGCCGGGGAAGGGCGCTGCCAATGCGGCCGCTCTAAAGCAGGGCGCGCAAGGACGCGGGCAGGCCGTCAAGACCCTGCCAAGAGCTTTTGCAGCTGCGTCAAAACCGATCGCCCGCTACATTGACAGGCACCGACCTGCCAAAAGCAAGGTTGTCAAGGCTCTAGTCCCATTCCTTTTCGCGTGGAAGAAAAGGAGCCAAGAAAGAAAAACGAATACAACAAACAAAACACAGTTGCCGAGGGTGAGGGAGAGAGAGAGTAAGAAAGTGTGAAAGTCTGAGAGTCTGAGTGAGACAGAAAGACAGACAGATAGACAGGCAGGCACAGAGGGGGAGAAAGAGTGAGAGCAAAACTCTTTTGGCGACTGCACGGCACGTTCTTTCTGCCCGGCGGGCCGTGGCTCGGCTTTGCGGAGGCCTGGAGCGCAAGGGCTGGAGAGGAGGCCGACGTGGAGTGGGGCCCGGGTCGCTGCTCCAGCGGCCCCCCCCCC